ATTGCTGTCGCGCTGCAATTGCTCATTGAAAGGCCTCTTTGGCCTTAGTCTTATTGCATTCCAATGACCCTCCCGGCCTCCTGCTATGTTCTACGTGCCCCTGTTCTTTTCCCTCGTTTGCTTGCTGCCGCTTAGTTCTTTCCTCTTGTGGTTCTCGCCCCAGGGCATTACTCCCTCCTGCGGCCTAATCCTTTATCTCGTCTCACTCTGGATTTCTCTGTTGTGCACAGTTCGTCCATATCCAGTCTCTCAAGTGATGAGAAGTTATTCGGGACTCACCAGTCCCGACACATTCCCCCCACTCTTTCGCGATGTTCTCATCGCGCACCAATCTCTTGTCAGTGAGTTTTGGAGGGATAGATGAGAGAGGGAGATGAGATGTTATGGATGGTTAGTTTGCCAGGGTCCGTTTTGTTCTTTTCCCATTCCTTTCTCAAGGTTTTCCTTAGCTTCCGTCCTTTGGGGTGGAGGAGGGTATGAGGGAGTCAAAGGTTCTTCAACTTAGATCAGGTTGCTCATTTCCGTCATAGCTCTGCCTCTTTATCTTTCCCTCAATTGAGATGCAAAATTCCTCTTCAGTCAACTCTGTATACCCAGCAGGGCAACCCATAATTCTTTCAACTTCAGTAACCATGAAGCAGACGTGGCTTTCCTCACTTCATGCACTTAACTACTGGTATGTTGGCTTTATTCCCTGGATGACAATTTATTGTCATAACACAATTGGTTTTCTCATTTTATGCCTCGACTTTGTTGATAACAAATTGTAGGCAAGTTTTCGGATGCGACTCAATGTTAGGAATTTGCTCCGGAAGGGGGATGTTCGTCAAGTACAACCGCCGCCTTTGCAGTGGTGATACCCACTTCGAATCAGTGAGCCCAGACACAACTCCCCTTAAGTGCTTCGTAATCTCAAATCTATCTTCCCATTTCATTGAGAAAACATTCTCGGGCAAAAACCATTTTAGTTTCACGTCATTCATTACTCTTAGAGTCATAAAAAATAATATATTTTTCTGCCCGTGCAATCCATGTTCTCCCGTCATTCTTTCCTTAGTCTCACGCTTAGCCAGTTCCCATGTATTTTTCCCATGTCATTTCGCCCGGCTTATGTGTGTCGTCCTCATCCGTCCTTTCTCGTATCCAGGCTTAACAATACGCATTACTTAGTCCTCTTATTCACATCTTTCTTCTGGCCTCTTGCCAGACCTCTCCTATACTCATGCAAAGTCCATTGTACCTGTATCTCTTTTCTGGGTGTCTTGCCAGGTTTTTCCTTAGGTCTATGCAAAGCCAATTTCACATATCTTTCTTTTCTGAACATCCTGCCAGGCCTTCTCTCAAACCCATGCCAGGTCAAATACTCATCCATTTCTTTCCTCGACATCCCGCCGGGTCTCTTCTCAAGCCCATGCGGGGTCATTCACATATCTTTTCCTCAGCTGGACACCTTGCCAGGCCTTTTCCCAAGCTCATGCAACGTAAATTACTCATCCGTTTCTTTTCTGGATATCTTGCCAGACCTTTTCTCAAGCTCATGCAACGTCAATTATTCATCCGTTTCTCTTCTAGACATCTTGCCAGACCTTTTCTCAAGCCTGCGCAAAGTCAATTACTCATCCATTCTTACGCTCATGGTATTATTCTCTTTGCATGTTTTTTCTTTGGTAGGTGGCACACCTTCCCCCCACTCAAAATACGATGTCTCCATCGAACGACGAATTCTCACTCGGAGGTACGTAGACCTTGGCCCACCAACTGAGTAGACGGATGTCGGCCCATCAGCCCCAAAAAGGAAGGGTGATCAGTCGTCCCCCTGCTGATAACTCACCTCATCCCATACTCCAATCCGATCTTTTGCTGCTTACGAGATGGGCGTCATCACTGAGGTACCACCCCACATCTGGAAGGTAGGTCGAGTCCAAGTTTCCCAGGACCCCATCTTGCCGTAAGTGCTTTCTCGCGAATCGTTCCTCGCGAGCGGTGTTTTCTTGGATCCGGCCTCTTCCTTTCAAGAGAGTTGGGGCTCTCTATTAGTCTGCGAGTGTAGTTACGAAGACCCCGTGGTTAGTCCCGGAACGGTTGTAATGATCCGCCAGAGCGGTGTCACTCGCCCTGTGGTGGTTGCGGCTTCCACCCGGTACCACGCCCGATTCCTCCCTCTGGACAATGCTGCTCAACTTAACACGAGCAGCCATGGTCCATTCCAAACGGTCGTGTCGCCCCTCTACGGCATGGCGTGTGGTTGGGGGAAAAAAATGAGACTTAGGAAAAAGAATGGCTCTCTTGCCCATTTGGCACCACGCCCTTGACGTTTAGGTTTCAACATGAGGTGCAGTTTGAACTCCCCGACTAGAGCTCGTTGTCAGGGTTAGTTCCGGACGACCAGCATCAATCAAAGAGAAAGGTGTTTTAGTCCTTCAACCCTTATTCCTTCTTATGAGGAGCAGGTCGTGCTGAGACTTTTCCCTTAACGGGTAGAGGTCTTGGGGTCGCGATGCAGGCATTGCTATCCCCCTTATGTTGAGACATGAGACTAGAAAAAAAGGAAGCTCAATCTCTTGCTATTTCCATGGTCGGCCCGACGACCTTACATCAAGTTGCCTAGGGTCCCCTGGCTATGCAATGCAATATCCAATCTTCAAGGCTGATTCTAATGGCTGGTCCGACAGCCTCTCATCAACAAGGCCACCCACATGGCCGATTTGGCGGTCATTTTCTCAATAGTCATTTCTCAAGACCGACTTTTCTGCCCATTAAATCCTCAATTCTCTCATTCCTCAACACCCAATCTCTGTGACCGTCCCAATGGTCTCTTCCCTTCTCGGCTTTAAGTCTCCGCCTTCTTTATCCCGTCCTTCTCATCCACATCTTTCTTCCGCCCCCTTGGCTATTTCAGCGGCCAACCCACCGGCCTTTTCCATCTCTTTCGTCCGTCTCATTGGTTATTTCAATGACCGACCCACCGACCCTTTTTCACCTCTTTCACTCATCCCATTGGCTATTTCAATGACCGACCCACCGGCCCTTTTTATCTCTTTCGCTCATTCCAGCACATTCTCAATCAACCTTTCTCAATCAAATACGCAGGGGACCCAGTGCCTATTTCAAAAGGATTGACCCTTGTAAGGGGCCATTCCCGAACAACCTGGTTAGGGTCGTTCTTTTCCATTCTCAAATCGAACAGGCTGGTTAGGGCCATTCCTTTTCATTCTCAAGTCGAACAGCCTCGTTAGGGCCATTCCTTTCCATTCTCAAGTCGAACAGTCTGGTTAGGGTCATTCCTTTCCATTTTGAAGTCGAACAACCTGGTTAGGGTCATTCCTTTCCATTCTCAAGTCGAACAGCCTGGTTGGGACCATTCCTTTCCATTCTCAATGTTAGTGCCCGAGGGGGTGGGCCTCGAGGTTACGGATCTCATTTCTGTCTTGGAGGTTAGAAGGTGGCCATCTCATCTTTTGCATGATGTTCTCTTTCTTCCATTTTTCACAGCAATGTACTATCCATTTCATTTCTCACAGTAATGTACTATCCATGCATGCATCTGACTTAGTGTCTAGTACTCGAGTTGGGGCTCGCGACCCCAAGTAGCACTAGCCCACCCGGTCGTTCATCCATAAGAAAAGACAGAGGCGCCCCTTCCATTTTCACTCTTCCTGATCACTCCGGTTTCGGCTATTCTCAGACTCATTCATGACTCAGTTGGATTAGGCTCCTAGAGAAGGAGTGTTTTTCACGCCCCTTAACCCATAGCTTCCCTAACCTCTCTTGACCAACATTTAATGCCTTGCTTTGCTCGTCAATCCATACTCCAAATTTCTTTCCTCAAAAAGCACAATCCTCATTCCATTCAAATTTCACAATACACCCTTCTCAACTGTTCTCATCCCATGCCCTATATCCTTGTCTTGTGTACCCACTTTCGAAGGTAGCTCATCCAAAAGTAGCCTTAATATGCTATCTTCTAATCTTATCACGACACAGTCTTAGCTGACCCTTCCATTACTCATCCTTTGCAAGTTTACTCATACTGTACACATTTTGCTCCAATGTTTTGCAATTCAGCAATAAAACCAGGATTCTTTCCCAACACTCAATCAACATCTATTGCCTATTGCTGTCCTATGCCTCGACTTGCTCGTTTCTTTATCCACCCTGTTCCTCAGCTGGTTGTCTAACCCCCAGGCCGAAGGTCTCGATTTCTCTCCTTATCCTCACAATTTTTCGTAACTCTGCCTCGCTGAAAAAATCCAGTGGTATGGCTTCCACCTTTGCCCTTGCGAGTTCCCGAGTCTTGACAATCCATTCGTGTCTGATCACATTGGTCCACTGCTGAAACTAATGACTGGGTGTTGGTCCAAAGTCGTCCTCCCATCTGAGAGCCCCGTCGCCCGGCTGGTGCATCGGAGGCCGCCCCTCTTCCCTAGGTCTTCTGATCTCATCCCTCTCATACCCACTGTTGATTTCTATGACTTCTCGTACATCCTCCTCCTCGTCCTCCTCGCCTTCTGTCTGTATGAGGCTATACTCACCTGCAAGGTTCTTCGGATCGTAGGTAAATGAAATCTCTGTCCCCGTTCCATACCCCTCACAACTGTCGTGGCCGCTTCGTCCTTCAAGCGGACTTTCCCTTCTTTCCTCACTCTCCTCGTGTTCGTCGCGCATGTCTTGTCCCCCCTCGCTTTCCCCATGCCAAGTCACACGTCGCTTGCCCCTGTTAACTCCTTCCTCATCAAAGACGTGAACCTTTTCTCCCATCTCCACATTGCCTCCTTCTTCCACTTCTGCCTTTTCCTTCCCTCCCTCACTGTCAGACGAGATTTTTATACTTTTTCCCTCGCGGAGGGGTGAGGGTTTCCTACATAAGCATTTCCTTCCACCCCTGCGTAGCACTGGCCCACCCATGAGTCCTATGTACAACTTTCTCTTCGCTGCCCTCCTCCCTTGGCTTGGTCCTGCTTCCTCCCCTCCGGTAGGCCTGTTGACCGCCCCGCTCTCGTTCTCGTTGCCGAATTTTATTTTTTTTGTTTTTTCTTGCTTTTCTCCTAGGTCCTGTATAACAAAACAACACCCGCAATGCCCCACATACGCACGTTCCCCCCAGTCCGGTAGACTGCTCCCCTTTCCCAAAAAAATGCCCCAAGTATCTTTCGCATCATGCCTCTTTTATACATTTCCCTCCCTTATGTAAAAAGCGTCGTTTGGGAAAATCCCATTTTTTTCCCGTAAAAAACTATGGTACAATGCCCCAAACATCCCTTCCCGTCGTCGCACAAGCCAAATATTGCAAACCCCCAAATCATGCTGCCTTTCACCCTCAGTCAGTCCAAGCCATTGCCCCACTCCCCAAAAATGACAGTCTCATGGACATGGTCAGAGACAACCATAGTGTGGGCAAGGCTATGGTCAGTCTTTAACTTGTGGCCCCTCAGTTTCCTTATCTTCGGCCTCCAGAAGCCATTGTTCCACTGACTCCCGACTTAGAAACCTGACCAATCATTGCCCCGGGAAGGGCCCTTTCAATCTAGTTTCATCAAACTCTTCCAGTTCGAAGGTGTTAAGTCTGACCCGCTTGGCGACCCGGTAGGGGCCTTTGAACCTTCATCCCAGCCGTCCCGACCAAGTACTCTTTAGTGCCGAGTTCCTTAGCAATACCATCTCTCCCACTTGAAGTGGCTCCTTTCTGACATTCGTAACCTGGTCCCACCTGGCTTTATCCCTCATTCTGCTATCTAGTACGCGGTTGGCGATGTCTTCCATGACCTCCTCGTTCTTAAGGATCTGTTGACATCTTGCCTCGATTAACTCTTCAGTAGTCATTTGCAGATCATCATCTAGCCTATTCCAGGTAGATACCAAGGTTTCCACTCGAAAATCGATCTCTCTTCCGTACCAAAGCTCTGCCGGGATACATCCTGTTGTCCATTTAGGGGTCATATTCTCTGCAAAGACAGCCTGCTTAAGATACCTAGGCCAGTTCCCCAGATGGTCCGCTGCAAGCTTTGCAATCGTGTTCTTCAAGGTTCGGTGCCCCCTTTCCACAGGTGCATTAGCCTCAGGGTGATACGGCTCGATGAGTTTGATCGGTACGCAGAGTCTTTTAAGCATCCTCAATACTTCTTGGTTCACAAACTTCGTCCCATTGTCTGCTATAAACCTCCTCACGAAAGGATGCCTCAAGTAGAAGTCTTTTATCCAGTCCGCCACACTCCTCCCTGTCTTTTTCTTGAGGGCGACCGCCTCCACGAACCCACTCAAGTTGTTTCACGCATCTAGAATATACGTGTACCCATCCATTGATACGAGCATGACCGCAAGGTCGAGGTGGACCAGATGTCCCGGCCCTAGCACCCGCGTTGGTCTAAGCAACTCGAAGACCCGCACCGAGCTTCGTTCTTGGCAAATAAGGCAAGTCTGGCAGTATGTGGCGACCATGCCTGCCATGCCTGGCCAATAATAGAGTGAAGTCATTTTTGCAAGCGTTCCTTTGGACGACCGATGACCTCTAGCCAACCCATCGTGCATTGCCTGGATAACATCTACTTGCCTAGATCTTCCGCACACAACCCTTCTGGCATAGCACCTTCCTCCCTTCGGAACAAATGGCCGCCCCTTAGGACGTACCTTTCGGCTTCTTCTCTTGCTTTAATACTGACTTCCATAGTTTGTTTGTTTCCTACCAATAACAACCCGATCTCCCGAAAGAGCCCTTCGTATGATTGGACATAGAAAAACTCCTCTCCTTCCTTACTCCCATCTTTTCCTTCCTGCATCTGGTTTACCACCCATTGCAACGTTTTCCTTTCCCAAGATTCCACTAAGCTCATCACTGCTTCCCGGTCTCCCTCGACCGCCATTGCTATTAATTCGTCTTTCGGTCCTACTATCGCTCCCCATGAGTTATTTTCTTCTCTGCATCCTCGAGTGGTGACTGATCCTTCTCTAAGTTCTGCTACTACGGCAGGTGCCCCCTTCTCCAAAGTCTGGATCAATAGTTCTCCCGACGTGCATCCTTCGCTCATCCTTTCATTATCCACCGCAAGAGTTCCTCCTTCGTATTCGAGGAACGCGTCTATAGGCTCCGCATCCTCCACCCCTTCGGGAGTGATGCAGACCCGGCTGAGCCCATCAGCCTTGTTCCTGATCCCCGCAATCCGTTCGATCTTATAATCGAACTGCCAGATAAATCCTACCCATCTCCCCACCGTCGGATCTATAGGCCTGTAATTCTTTAGAGTCCCTGTGAGATTCGTCGGATCGATCCTTAAGATGAATCGCCTCCCAAATAGGTAGGCCTGGAAGGTCTTAAGGCAATGCAGGATGGCTAGGACTTCCTTCTTGAATTGCGAGTACCGCCGTTCTGCGGAGTTCAGGGTTCTACTTTCGAACCTAATTGGCCTCTCTTTTCCTCCCTCGTCCCTTTGAATCAGTACGCCTCCTACGACCAAGGGCCCTCCATCTGTTTCCAGGATGAATGGTCGTCCTACCTCATCATTAAAGCAAGGCGTCGACAAACCGACCTGCTCCGATGTTAGAATGTCCTTGAGGGTCTGGACGGCCCCCTCTCGCTTCTCCGTCCAATCCATGGTTCCTTCTTCCCTGATCATAGCCCGGATAGGCTCAACAATATTGGCAAAGTTCTTAATGAAGATCCTCCAAAAGCCGACTACGCCTAGAAACGGCCTTACCTCCGTCGTCCTGCGCAGCGGTGTCGGCCACTGTGATATATTGTCGGTCTTTGCCGGATCCGACTTCCTGCCGTAAGCACAGCAACGAAATTCTGGTATAGTTACCTCTGGTACTGCTGGGATACTCTTTGGTCTACTAGTTGTAATGTTGTATGCTAGGAACCGGCGGAGTAAGTCCTAGATGTCCTGCATGTGGTCCCACACAAAACGTCGGATCCCTGGCTGGACTTCCGTCTCGTCCTTCTCCTGCGCGCCTTTGATCGGATTGTCATTAATGTAAGGCTCACATTTTTCTGGGAACATGTCCCCGGCCACGGCGAGCATCCTGCGTTGCGCTTCGGCCACCGCGTTTGCGAATCCCATAGGGGTCACTTGCATCTGTAGCTGGCCTACGGGGGTGTGCATAGCGGTGTATGACTTGTTCCGAACATCCAACGAAAGTTGGTCGTACCCTGAGTACAGATCTATCAAGGAGTAAATGCTCTGACCGGCGTGCGATTCTGCTAATAAGTCAGCTTGAGGTAGCGAGCCAACATCCCAGATGGTTACCGCATTCAACTTCTGCAGATCCTGAATCCACCTCAGTGTCTTGATAGGCTTTCGAAAGACGAACCACCGGTTTGTGTATGGCGATGCCGTAGGCTCCGCAACGAAGGAGTCCATCTTTGCTCGGAGGAGGTCTGTTACTTCTCCTGCTATCCCGAATTCATAGGATGGCCCCTTGTCATTCCAGCACTCATGTTCTACCGTGTGGATTCTGAGCGGAGGGATCAGTTTCGCATCCAGTCGTCCCTTTTGGCGATCACTAAAGGTAAATGTCAGGTGAAACTCCCGGCAGGTCCATTTGATCAGGCGGTTTTTTTCTTCCGTTAAGAACCCGTCTATCCCTATCTTCATTGTGTCAGCTACCGCATCTGGTATCCGATGTTCCTCCGTCGCCCTTCTTTCTCGGATCATTCGAAGGACCTCTTCCTCCTTCTCCATAGCCTCTTCCTTTGATGTCTCCAACAGGATCGAGACCGGTTTTGCTTTCTTCCCTACCGGCTTGTACTTTCGAACACTTCCTTCCGGGATCTTTCCCTTAAAAAATGAACAGTCAGAATCGCCCCCGTCGCCTCTACGACTCGTGGTTGAATACTAACTAGTTTTCCATTCAGGCAATATCCCTTTTGCAACTCCCCTTCGAACTTGGCCAAGGCCGCTGAGTCCACTCCTACCTTGTGGTATCTGAGAGCCTTGATAAGTTGTAACAGATCGGGGATCTCGAGCGCGACTTCTGGCACGTCTATGCGTACTTCTTTCCGTTTGGGCAGGCTAGCACCAAGTTCGACCTTTGACTTCTTTTCCGCTACCATAACACCTAGGGCTTCGTCCTTCCGCCTCCTCTTCTTCTGGGGCAGGCCCATCTTGATCCACTCCTTCTTGTTGAATGCTTCCTCAATCATGATTTCTACCCTTTCTCTCATACCCTCCATCCGTGCGAAAGCCCCTTTTCGCGTGCTATCCTCGAACGATGGCGACCATGTTGCGAGTTTCCCCTTTTTCGGGGGGTCTCCTCCCGTTCCAAGGAGTCGGAGGAGCTCTCCCCGGCCGGTCACAGGATCCTCAATGTCTACCATGTATGAACCATCGTGCAAGTGCATGCCTATCATCTCCACGTTCGCGGACCACGGTCTCCCAAGGATTATGTCGTGGTCCATTTCCTCCATTACGGTCATCCGCTGAAACGACCAGATCGATTCCTTGACTCCTACCTTTACAGCACACTTCGTAACGTACCCAGCGAACGGGATTTCCCTGCCCACTCCCCGGATGCTCCTTGTTACTTCCTTGTTTATCATACATCCCGTGATCGTTGCGAAATATCTTCTTATGAGAGTGATTTCTGCTCCCCCGTCTACTAATGCGTCGGTATGATGACTCCCGATCTGGATTTTCAGTTTCCCTACGGGCAGCGCATGAAAGCTAAGCTTCGTCCCAAGTGGTGATCTCATGACTTTGCCGCCCTCTTGGTCGGGCAAGCTCAAACGAATGTCTGCAAAGGCTTTTTCGAGATCCTCCAAGTCCCCGTGACTCCTCTGAAGGTTAGCCACTTCTTGCGGAACTTCCTCCTCCCTCTCCCCTTCTAGTAATTCGGGGTTGTCGTCTATTTCTACTCGCCGCCAAGTCAACAGTTGTCTAAGCCCTTTGAGTAACCTAGGGCTAGCCTGCAGCATGGTCTGAAAAGACACTGACACCATGGTTCCTAGTAACTTGCTAATGGTGTCGTCGAGCTCAGGCAAGGTCAAGATCGGAATTTGATACCGAAACTTCTTCTTAGCGGAGGTAACTTTGTCCGCAGGCTCCTCTTCCCTAGGCTTCCCATAGACTTTCTCTGGTTCCTCAGCCTCAGGTTATGCCTGGGGTTCGGAGCTTCCGGCGACCTCCTCCATAATGGTGTCACGGTTAATCCTTATCCCAGCCGTTCCTAGTCGAGTGGTTGCGTTCACCCTATCACGTTCGTCGTTTTCCAAGATAAAGTTGGCCTGCGGCCCGCGGCCCCGCAGTTGATCCCAAATGATATCGACCACTGGCTCAGCTTCCACGGCCGCTATCTCTAACCCATTGAGCATGATGACGGCTCATCGCATTCCTCCTGGTGAGTTCCAATTCACCCGCTCTCCCTGTGGTCCGAATATCTCTCCCTTTAATGACCTGCTGCATCTCCTTTTTAGGATATCAAGGTTGAGCTTTGGGCATGCACGCACATAATGTCCCATCGCGGTACAGTACTTGTATTGCTCGTTAGCAGGATCTCTCCGTCCGAATCCCCGGTTGGCTACTCCTGGCGGAACCACAGCTTCCTGGGGAGGGAGGGCGGGTCGGGATACTTGCGCCTGCATAACTAGTAGCGCGCCTTCCATTTTTTCAATTTTGTTGTCGACCCCGTGCACCCGCTCATGTAGACTTTCAATCCCCTTCTTTACCTTGTCGCCTGCTCTACCGGTCAGATCTATGACCTCCGCTTCCTTAAGCAAGGCCAATGTCTTCATTACTACCGTCTTTTTGGTCAAATCCGTTACTGTACTGAAATCATCGTCCCTAGTGTTTACAAATTTGCTCGTCCGTTGGTAAGCCGACAGAATCTTGTCCTTGTCGAACTCGGAGAACTGTCTGAGGAAGTACTTACTCATTATTCGGTCCGTGACCCCGGGGATTCTTAGTGCTACCAAAGTAAACTCCCGTAGGAAGTCATTGTACGTTGCAAAGTTCTTCCTCTGGACTGCCGTTAAATCGACCTCCGTTGCCATCTTATCTGCTACCAGATATTTTCTCATCATCACATCTCGGGTTTCTTTCCAAGACCGGCTCGTGGCCACAATGGCTATTATGTCCCGCCCTAGGCTCAAAGACACATGCTGCCCCAAGTGGTCCATCTTCTCTTCTTCGGTCCATTTCAACAACGCAGTCAGATTCTCGTAATCTATCAGGAATTTCGTGATGTTCGCCCCATCAAACGTCAACTTTTTCTTAGCATCCGCTAGGTAGCCTTGATTTTTGTTTAGTGCTCGCGCGAGGGACGACACTATCTTCTTAAGGCCGCCCTCAGAGTTGCTGGCCTCGCCTGGCATACTGTTATTCGGACCTTCCTTGCCGGCCTTCTGCCCCTCCCTGGTTTTCATAGTTCCTTCCGGGTCAAACCATCCCAACACTCTTTCCCTAAGGCTTCAAAGTCCTTCGCATCCTCGTGCTACTGCTGGCGGGGTCGGCAGGCGGCTAGCCCTACTATCCATGGCTGGCGGAGTCGTAACCTTTTCTGCTTCCATCCCCGGGGGGTTCTCTCTCTCTTTCCTTCTCTTGCTCGACGTTCCCCCACGGTCACTACCTTTATCCCCTTGTCCAGTTCCACCTCGGCTGGTTTTCCGTTCGTCCCGGGGTTCCTCCTGCAGAGGGCCTTCTTCGTTCCCAGTCATCATTTCCTCAATCAATTTTGCCTTGTATTCCGCGGTCCTCTTTTCTATCTCGGCTGGTTTGCGCCTTGCATCTGTGACCCTTACTTTCTTAGACACGGCTCCTTCCGAGTTTCGGGGGTTTGTCCTATCCTTATTTCTGCTCTCTTTGGTCTCCTGAGTCCCTTGCCTGCTTCCCCCGGCTTTCCCAGAACTTTCTCCCGTGGAGATTTCCTTCCGGTTCCCTTTGGTACCATCCGGATTTATCGATTCTCTGTCCTTCTGCCCCCGTTCGCCTTGTGCGGCACTGCCCCCTAAGCCTGGTTCTCCTTCACTCTTACGGTTATCTGTCTCCTCCTCCGTTGCCATTTTGCCTGGTTCTGCATAAGCCAAAGAATTCCCAGGACACACGCAATGCGAGGTATTTAGGTTCCCTAGGCTCCCAACTCTGTTGGCTTATCTTTATAGCCCCCTTTCCTATCCCCGTTTCCTGATTGCCCTTCCTTAAGGAGGAGCCACGATTGGCCCTGCCGCCCATACGGGCTATGAACGTGACTTGGCTTCCTTTATGACATGCTCATTTGTAGTGCCCTTGTCCCGTCGGCCAATGCGAGGGAGTCCGGGTTAGGCATCCTGTTAGGGGAAGTCTTCCCGAGCAGTGTTTCCTATTTTTGACCTTCAGGGTTATGGTCAATCATTAGAAGTCTGCCCCCTTCTTTATTTTTCTAGTGGGTTTTAGCCATCCACGTCCGAGGCCCCGTTCTTATTCCCATCGACGAACTTCCGTACGCAGCGAACTATACTCGATCTGCCCTATCGACCCGCCTGCGGATGCTAGTCCCGCTCTCGCCCTCGCGGCTTTTCTGGTTCGGTCGGCTCCTCGAATAGTTCAGCCACCCCTGCTAAATAACTCTCTCCTATCTCAATTTCCCTCCTGATTATGCGTTCGCAGCCCGCCCAGTCTTAGCCGTGGCGCCCTAAACATCAGGATGTGGATGACTTCCAGTAACTCGTGGACCCTTTTTCCCCAGAACGGCCCATGCTCCACAGCGACATCGTAGAACATCCCAATGGTAGGGGAGGGAAAGTGGCCTGCCCAGACTATCGCTGAGTCTGCCAGCTTCTGCGCCCTGGTGAGGCTTCCGAAGACGAGGTCTATCATAAAACGGGGCACCCGGCATCTCAGCGGCATAGTCGGTGCCCTGAACTCCCTCCAACCTCCCATTTCCACCCGGGTAAGTAAGCCCACGTTCCTTCTACCCCTGACTAATTGTCCTATCCGGGTCAACGTCCGGGCGGCCCTTCGAAAGACCGGTGCCAGCTCATTACTTTGTGCTATTTCTACCCCCAACGAGTGTCAGCCGATCTCAGGCAGATACATGGTCCCGGTAACTTACAGATTGGAATACAGATCGTCCCCGGGTCCTCGCTTGAGTCTCATCCCTGTCCACCGATATTCTACCAATATGAAGGCGGCGTCCCATCCTAAAGTCACGGCCCGCCATTCTATGTCAAATCCCCAATAGGTAGAACTCGATGGGAGGGATACTTCCCATCGTCCACCTTTATTCCAAGGCTGTCCGGGGTACCGGGGCCGGCGTTCCATTCGCTCACGTCTTGTTGCCATCGTTGCTTGGTGATTCCCTGCATAGTCCACATAGAAAGGGTTAAATGTCAATCCCCAGAAACGGCCCACCTACTGCCCTCCTTGTCCTTCATATTTTCATTCCTCTTTTCTAGTCCCAACTATCCCTCCATACCCCTGGGAGTAGTAGCCCCCTCTGGCAGCTCGTACAGCCGGTAGAGGTCATCTACGTAGGTCGCGCCCTGACCTACCTCCCGCCGGATGATTCCCCACATGGCCTCATCACTTATTTGTGGGACTCCCGGCCTAGTATTTACTACTGCTTGTAGAATGCAAAGCACCTCGCGCTCCTGTTCGTCCCCGAAAGGCCCCATCTCTAGGAAGGCCCGATAGTATTCTCGATACATTAACGCTTCGTCAAAATTCAGCCTAGTTATGGCAGTTACCGCCTGCTCCATTGGCTCTATGCCTCCCATTAGCCTCAACAGAAACGGCGGTAGACTCATCCGTACGACCTCATTGGGCAGCTCCAAGATCCCTGTCGTGGCAACTCTTACCTCCGCCGTCACGTCATCTCGTTCCGGGTCTGCAAACTCAAACCCCTCCCGCCAAGTTATTTGCGATGCCCCTTCGAACATTCGCACGGGGTCATCCCCAGAGGCCAAGGCAATCCCAAAGGTCCGCCACCCTTCTTCCGACAGGTGTAAGGATCCCGTCGCATGCACTCGCCCTGGGAGGTCCAGATTTACGCCCCCGAACTCCTCTCTTGCACGCCATTCCAGCTCCACTACTAGGTACACCGTGTCCTCCACCAACTCTACCCCCACCCAGTCCATTACCGGATTGCTTACCGCATTTCTTGCTGGCAAGTTTATTTCGACCCTGCCTTCAGATATTCTCGGTGGCAGAATTCCACGAGGTCTATCCTCCCAGAACGTCATTCGCCCGGCCATCTTGCAATGTCTCCTTTCCTTCTTTCTTAGTCCGATTGATGCTCACACTGAGATTCCACGCCTTACGTGTTTTAGTTTTTCAGCCCTCCCTACTTATCGTACACTGGTTCTTGACGCTATCCCCAACTCATACACGTTCAATTCTACCCCTCCCCATTTTCCGGTTGCTGTCACTTCCCCCTTGTTTCGATCCTTATGCACCATCTATGGCCTAATGTATACACTCCCTTTCTTATGTTACCCTCAATTCACAAACACCCTCCATGCTCAGGCCTTTTCACGGTGTTCGATCCCTTGGCCTCATGTAGTCGAACCACAACTCGAATAGTTTAAAGACATCATCTACGTTAGATTGGGAAAAATATTAATTTAAAATATTTTTTATGTTGGCAAAAATTGTTTGTATCATGTTTCTGCATAACATGAATTTGTTACAGAAGTTTGTTTTTATTTTTCCTGTTTTTTTCCTAATTTTTAAAAATTTTTATTTCAATTTGTTTGTGTTTTGTGTCTTTGATTTTTCACTCGAGTTATCTACAGAATTTGACCATGAGTCTCAGGCAAAAGTTATTTGAAATATCATTTTCCATAACATAGTTTTGTTTTCAGATTTTTTTCAATGATGTTTTTTTTTTTTTTTTTTTTTACGTATTTCCACGTACGGGAGGACGTGTACGCGCGTACGTGTCGCGTACAGAAATACGTGTACGCGTGTATGCGCAGCCCGCGTACACGTACGCTGTGCAACACAAGTCCAAATAATAAAAATCGGAAAATGGCGAGGACTTGGAATGTCCCAAGGGAACCATGAACGAACACAAGTAATAATTGTGCACGCAAACGACACCGTCGAGATCGAGGATCTGGACGGTGGAAAATATTAGCACCACTATTGCAAACACTAGTGAGAGCAAGCGGGAGAGCCATGAGAGAAAGAAAAGTAAAAAATAGATGTTGGAAAGACTGCCCAGCAGTCTGGGATATCTCGGACTAGCTAGGCATAAGGAAATAGAGCCTTGAGAGGCTCAACATGAAAAAAAGGCTGCCCTTAGAAAATTGGAGCAAAAGGGGCTCAAAATTGGGCAAACGGGAGCAAAATGGAGCCCCTTAGGAGCATGGGGGTGCCATTATTGGAATCCGAGATGTAACGGTTCAGTAACGGCCATGAATCTGGCCTTGAATGAGGCCCTAGGGCCTAGAAAGAGGGTGCACAACAATTTGACACTTGTCACAATAGAAATAAAAGAAAAATAAAGAAAAACGAGAGAACAATGAGGGAGAATGAGACAAAAAGGGAGAAAAGAGTGGAGGAGAGTGTACCGGCCTATTGGGACCTGCACAGTAGGGACTGGCAGGTCCCACGAGTGACCTCATCCCTCCTAAAATGAGGGAGGGCAATCCGGATTGAAGAGATATGGCCCCAATATCTCAACAAAATCTCAATTAAAAAACAGAAAATGAGAGAAAAGGCAAAAAGGAAGTGACCGGTTTTCTTTTGGGCCATGGATCTGATATCAAATCTCATGGTAGAGAGAAACTAGCCATTTTTTGTGGGCCAACTAAAAATGGCTTGCTCCGGAATGAGGTAGCAGCCCAAAATGGAAAGAAACAAAAGAGGGAAAATGACAAAACAGTGCGTTTGGTCCAAAAAGAGAACCAGATGCACCAAAAATTGAAAAACTGGACTTAGGGGCTCAAAATTGAAGCAAGCGCTACTAAGGGGTAGCTCGGATTATTGTTGGCCTTGGATCTCAGCCAGATCTAAGGCTGAAAATGTGCCGCCAAATGAAAAAATGCTCTGGCTTACTCAAAAGAGGCCGAAACTTGAAAAAATTGAGAAAAAGGCCCACAAGGGTTTTTTTTTTCAAGTAAAAATGCCCCTTGGGCACTAGGACCCAAGGGGGCAGTATTTGTGAGGCAAAAAGGAGGCCGGAGTAGGCCACGAGGCAGTCCGAGTTAGTACCAGTCACTTGGACTGCATGTACTTGGCCAAAATGAGGCCCAGGTACCTCTAGGAGGGCCTAGTGAAGGAATTTTGCCTTGGGGGTACCTCGGTTCACCACAAGGCTGATGGGGAGGCTCATGGGCAAGCCGGACTGCTGGTTTCAACCTACATAAGTTGAGGATGCAGTCCGTCACTCTCACATTCGCATGAGGAGTGCCCATGCTGCCCAATTGAGCTCACAGGAACACTTTTGCACTTGGAGTGAGAGGGGAGGAACCCATGCTAGTGGGAGAGCTTAGAGGAGACTAGGAGGTAGTGGGAGGACTCTAGAGGATAGTGATGGTGGGAGAGACACTTGGGAGGTGATCCGCCATATCCCCCCTGGGTGTAGGAGAGAGAGAGAGACTAGAGGAGCCCCATTAGCCCCCCTAGAGGGGAGGACTCCATAGTCATAGCTGGGGGAGCTTGCCATAGCCTGAGAGAGAGCAAGGGAGGAGGAGAGAACGGCTTGGAGAAGAAGGAAGCCATAACCAAGACGGGATTGTGCAAAAAGAGGAAGCTTCATCAAGAGGACACCAACATCAAGGAATCAACAAGGTGCGAGTGAGGAAAAACCTTCTTCAGTTTCTTCTTCTTCTTCTTCTACTACTTCTTCTTCTTCTTCTTCTTCTTCTTCCTCCTCTTCTCCTTCTTCCTTTCCTCCTTCTTCTTCCTCTTCTTCCTCCTCACTCCTCTCTTCCTTCTCTCCTCACCCCTCTTCATCTCTTTCTTCCTCCTCTTCACTTCCACTATCCTTGCCTCCCTCCTCTTCTTCACCATCTTCATCTCCCTCATCTCTCTCACCTTCTCCTCCATCTTCTCTTACTTCATGTTCTCTCCTCCATAGGCTACTCAAACTCTCCTCTTACACTTATACACTAGGGGGTAGTACTCCGATTCATTCATAGATGCTTCATGATGCAATCTTGGTAATTTAGGCTCTCCAAACTTGTGATTTTCACACTCACACTAGTAGGTAGTGTAGCGTTTCACACATGGATGCTCCTTGATGCAATCTTGGTGATTTGGGCTCTCCAAACTTGTGTTTTTCACACTCACACTAGTAGGTAGTGTAGCGCTTCATACATGGATGCTTCTTGATGCAATCTTGGTGATTTGGGCTCTCAAAACTTGTGTTTTTCACACTCACACTAGTAGGTAGTGTAGCGCTTCACACATGGATGCTTCTTGATGCAATCTTGGTGACTTAGGCTCTCCAAACTTGTGTTTTTCACACTCACACTAGTAGGTAGTGTAGCGCTTCACACATGGATGCTTCTTGATGCAATCTTGGTGATTAGGGTTCTCCAAACTTGTGATTTTCACACTCAAACTAGTAGGTAGTGTAGCGCTTCACACATGAATGCTCCTTCATGCAATCTCGGTAATTTGGGCTCTCAAAACTTGTGATTTTCACACTCACACTAGTAGGTAGTGTAGCGCTTCACACATGGATGCTCCTTGATGCAATCTTGGTGATTTGGACTCTCCGAACTTGTGTTTTTCACACTTACACTAGTAGGTAGTGTAGCGCTTCACACATGGATGCTCCTTGATGCAATTTTGGTGATTTGGGCTCTCCAAACTTGTGTTTTTCACACTCACACTAGTAGGTAGTGTAGCGCTTCACACATGGATGCTTCTTGATGCAATCTTGGNTGGGCTCTCCAAACTTGTGTTTTTCACACTCACACTAGTAGGTAGTGTAGCGCTTCACACATGGATGCTTCTTGATGCAATCTTGGTGATTTGGGATCTCCAAACTTGTGATTTTCACACTCGCACTAGTAGGTAGTGTAGCACTTCACACATGGATGCTCCTTGATGCAATCTTGGTGATTTGGGAGCTTCAAACTTGTGTTTTTCACACTCACACTAGTAGGTGGTATAGCGCTACACCCATGATTGATCCATGATACAATCATGGTGACATGGGCTCTCCAAACCTGTAATTTTCACTCATACACTAGGAAGTAGTACACCGATACTCCCATGGATTACCTTTGATTCAACCTTGGTGATCTTGCCCACTTAGACTCTTGTTTTCACTCACGTGATAGCATGTGATGTTCTGGGTGATCTTCCCTTCATATACATGTGTTTTTCATTAGTCGAGCATTTCTTTGTCTTGTTTATACTTAGTGTGATATTCCGGATGATCTCTACTCTTTATGCATGTGTTTTTCACTAGTCTAGTCTCTCATTGTCAAGTTCAAGTTGAATGTAATGTTATGGATCTTTGCTTAGTTGAAATCTTATTCTTTGTGCATGTGCTTCCACTAGTCTAGCCTCTCATTGTTCAGTTCAAGTTTGATGTAATGTTCCGGATTTCGACCTTGTTGAAATCTTCTCTTTTGTGCATGTACTTCCACTAATCTAGTCTCTCATTGTCAAGTTCATGTTGGATGTAATATTTCGGATCTTTACCTTGTTGATTGCTACTCTTTGGGCATGTGCTTTCCTCTAGTCTGGTCTCTCATTGTCAAGTACATGTTCCGGATCTTTGCTTAGTTGATCTCTTCTCATTTGTGCGTGTGTTTTCTACTAGTCTAGTCTCTCATTGACAAGTTCATGTTCCGGATCTTTACTTTGTTGATCTCTTCTCTTTGTGCATGTGCTTCCAATAGTCCAGTCTCTCATTGTCAAACTCATGTTCCGGGTCTTCACTTAGTTGATCTCTTCTCTTTTGTGCATGTACTTCCACTAATGTAATCTCTCAATGTCAAGTTCATGTTGGATGTAATGTTCCGGATCTTTGCTTAGTTAGCCACTAGTCTAGTCTCTCATTGTCAAGTTCGTGTTCCGGATCTTTGCTTAGTTGATCTCTTCTCATTGTCAAGTTCATGTTGATTGCTACTCTTTGTGCATATGTTTTCTACTAGTGTAGTCTCTCATTATCAAGTTTGTGTTCCGGATCTTTGCTTAGTTGATCTCTTCTCATTTGTGTATGTGTTTTCCACAAGTCTAGTCTCTCATTGACAAGTTCATGTTCCGGATCTTT